AAGAATTAAATATTTTTGCTAACTATTTTTTAATTTATCAGAGTCAGCAAATTTGGGTTACAATTTGCGAAACAGTAATTGTAGTTCTTATCACATTTTGGATGTTACTGCTAATATGTTAAGACTGGAAATAAAAGTAATTTGGGGAACTTGCTTGACAATGCACTTTCATTTGCAAACAACTCACTATTACTGATACTAAACAGTTCAAGTTGGGAATATGTAGTGTGAAATAATGTACAAATTGCTTAAAAACTATCCAAGAGTAACCCACTTTCTTTGTTTTATTAATACAGTATAGTAACAACATGAGAACAAGAAGGAAAATTGGTTCGTGGGAAAATATTGTAGCGTGTTATGGATGTAGACGTAATGATTACCGGCCCAATAGAAATTGCTAGTAATCAAATTCGCTGAACACATAACTACATGTTACTTTAAAAATTATACAGAGCTTGCCGAAAAATAAAATCATCATCTGTTCGTAAATTTATTATTTTACACAAGGAAGCTATTTTTTTCTGGCTGGTAATGCTTCTGGAGACGGCTAAAAGATGGCTTGGCAGGGTGTGTGTTGTGAGCTAAGTGTATTACTCAACAGGTAGCAGCACATTGGCCTGCTTCTTAATCCCTTCTTTTTAAAAGGTGACTTTTCTCATTTGAAATATATTTCATAAAATTATTTGAAAAAATGATTCAAAAATGCTGTGCCATATTTCTGTAGGCTTTTAGAATATCAAGCATGTATGGAAGGCATCGTTGGAGAGTGGGGATATGGCGTGAAAAGAATTTTGAAGGTTTGAAGTTGCATTTAATGTGAATACAGATTGTGTTAATGTGCATTTCATTTTGAACACCTAAACAATACTACTTCAGCACAAAGTTTAATTTGTATCACTAACAATCACTGTTTTCTGACCATGTAAAATTAAATGTTTTTATTAATCTAGGAACTCTTACTTATCGGCATGTGTTCTGCTTGTCTGATGTGCATCAGCAGTGCACTCAGAATAGCCAACATTATATTAATTTTGTTCGTTTGTGCATCAGCGGATACAGGATTTTGTAAATGACACAGTGTTTGTTTCGTATAAGTCAAATTGCCACTCACGGACTGTTATGACCTTGCCAAGTTATATGAGACACCGAGTATCTTGATATTATTATTTATCTTGGAGGCATACTCAATTTTTATTGACGTAACAATGTGATGTGAGAAGACTTTGTTGTGATTATCATCAATGCAAAAAGGGAAAATATTGCATAGTAGAATATCACATCACACTGCAGTTGCGCTTTCAATTAGGCATAAATATTCAAATCTGTTGAAATTGTAATTGGTTACGATTTGAATAAATAAAAGCACCATGATTTCTATCATCTCTCTTTAATGCTACCACTGTATACACTGGATAATCACGCCGTCATTAGGCCGTACTACTACTAAAACAAAAGACGAAAGCCAGAACGAAAGATATGACACATACCATGTAATAGCACTACGATCACAACTAGCAACTTCAACAGTCCCCCTTAATCTGAGTGCTATTTCAGTACTAATCCTACTAACAATCTTTCATGCTTGGTCTTACCAAGTCCCTTGGTCATAACATCAGCCACAGTGTTTTCAGTCGCACAGTACTCCACTTTTATTTGATTTTTGTTTGATACAGTCTCTAATAAAGTGATGTCTAATGTCTATATGCTTACTTTTGTTATGAAAAACCGGATTTGTGCTCAAATTCTGAGCTAACTGGTTATCATCATACAGTGGGACAGAACTCATTTCCCCCAACACTTCACCCATGAACTCCTGTATGAATATAGCTTCTTTAGCTGCTTCCGAGAGGGCCATATATTCATCCTCGGTGCTAGAAAGAGCAACAGTCTTTTGCTTTCTACTTTCCCATGAAATTGCCCCTCCAGCCAGGATGAAAACAAAACCTGAGTAGGACTTTCTATCAGCATCCTCCCCTGCCAAATCTGCTTCAACGTATCCCTGAAGTGTGTTCATTTGTGCATTGAATTCTAGTTTACGTTGTTTGGTACCCTGTAAGTAGCGTAGAATCCTTTTAGCTGCTTTCCAGTGTTCCAAAGTGTAACAGTTGTTGACCTGACTCCAATAGTTTACTGAATGTGCTATATCAGGCCTTGTACATACTGCTAGATACATTAACGAACCTATGAGGCTCTGATATGGCACACTTTCTTTAAGAACTTCCCCCTTTTCAGGTTTTCTTAGTCTTGATCCTGGTTCCAGTGGAGTACTGACCGGCTTACAACTTGACATATTGTTTACACAGAATGTTTTCAATGTACTGTTCTTGGCTCAAGGAAATTTTTCCATTAGCCTGTTTTATACTTATACCTAGACCATAACTTGCCTTACCTAGATCTTTAATTTTGAATTTAGAAGTGAACTGATCCTTAAATTTCGTTTTATTTTCCACATCATTACAAAAAATCAAAATGTCATCCACGTACAAGGCAATCACAACCAATTTATTCCCAGATTTATTTATAAAGACACATGGTTCTTTATTTGACATAACAAAACCCAAAGACTCCAACACTGACTTTGCTCGCTTATACTATTCCCTAGATGATTGCTTTAAACCATACACAGCTTTGTTGAGCTTGCATGCATAATCCTCTTTCCCTTTAACACAAAAACTTGCTGGTTGTTCCATGTATACTGTTTCTTTCAAGTTACCATTTAAGAATGCTGTTGTTACATCCATGTGATCTACAGATAAATTCATTTCAGCTGCTAGTGTAAACAGAAATCTAAGTGATGAGTGCTGAACTACTGGAGAAAAAGTTTCATCAAAATCTATTCCCTGTCTCTGATCATAACCCCTTGCTACTAACCTAGCTTTATACCTAGATACATCACCATTCTCATCCCCTTTAAACTTGAACACCCATTTACTCCCAACTATCTTTTCACCTTTAGGTCTCTGTACTAGAGTCCAGGCCTCATTATCATCAAATGATTTTGATTAATCTTCCATTGCTTTTATCCACTTATCCTTGTCTGTGCTATTAAGGGCTTGTTCCAGAGATTCTGGCTCCTGCACAGTTGCAACAGTGACTTTGTATGTAACCATATCCGGGTACTTTGTAGGTTTCCTATCCCTTTTTGGGTACCTAGGCTCCGTCCCAAGTTGCGTTTCTATTTCTTCCCCACAAACTGGAGTGTTGAGAAGGGTATTGTCAGAGTGATACATTTTCCCATGTGTGGAGTTTGATCCCTTTACACCCTGTACTTCACTTAAATTGTCAAAACCTCTAAACTCATCCTTATCTTCCTCACTTATGATACTGGGCTTTCTGTTTTGGTCAACTTCCCATTTGATTACAGGCTCAGACACATGTTTTATCAATTGAGTCATGACGATCTGTATCTAACTGCAACCCATCACCCCCTTGAAAAAAGTTTTCAATGAACCTAACATTTCTTTCCTTTCTAACTCTAGTTGGATACTGAGGGTCTATTAGCCTATATGCTTTAGTTATCACAATACCCCACAAAAATATACTCGTGTGACTTTAGGCCCCACTTCCTTCTATTCTCTGGTACTAGTGCAAAAGCTCTGGACCCAAATATCCTAAGGTGAGAAAAGGTCACCTTTCTCCCTGTCCATGCTTCTTGGGTGTCATCCCTTTCACAGCTTTAGTTGGTCTCCAATTTTTAAGATAGACAGCACAATTGACTGCTTTCCCCCAGTACCTTTGATTCAAGCCTGCCTCATGTAACATTGTTTTAGCCTTTTCTACTATTGTCCTATTAGCACTTTCTGCTACCCCATTTTGTCCTGGACAATATGCAACCTACAATTGATGAATGATACCATGTTTCTTTAGGAAGTTATCAAAACTATGATTTACGTATTCCTTCCCATTGTCCGAATGTATTGCTTTGATTTTTCTGCCTAACTGATTCTCAACAATTCGTTTAAATTCCTAAAATTTAATGAATGCCTCATACGTGTCTTGAAGCAAAAATACAAATGTTTTTCTAGTAAAATCGTGTACCATAATGAGGAAATACTTTGCCCCATTCCAAGTTTCCACCTGCATTGGCCTGTGAATTTCATGCTATGTGATACTCATCAAGTCCAACATGCTCGATATCCCAGGTGTCCCAACCTCCTATGCCACAGTGTTATATCAATATTTTTCTCACTCACCACATATGCTTTCACATTTTGATCATTTCCTACTAGGCACAATTTGTACACACCTTGTTCCTCAGATGCAGAAGTATTGATGTTTAGATCCTCCTCCTTATATATCATGCAGTCTGCACTGGAAAATAAAACACTCAAACCACAACTTACAAACTTGCTTACACTTAGCAGGTTTGCTGTTATGTTTGGCACAAACATGACATCTTAAATAGTGGTAATACCAGGGGTATCTTTAAGATAAACTTCTGCCCCTCCTAACCCTTCAGCTCTAAGTTTTTCATTATTAGCACAAGTAACTGTTGTTGCATTAACCTCAGACAAGTCCTTAAGTATATCTTTGTTGTTGGTCATGTGTGCTGTTACGCCTGAATCTAGATACCAACTTTCTACCTGCACATTTGCGGTTACTGCTGCAAATAGAGTAAATTCTTAATTTTTTGGTGTGGCTCTCCATGGTTCTCTCCTGTTGGGATTCTTATAGCAGAGTAGCCCAGTGGAAGCATGCTGGACCCATAACCTGTTGAAATTGTAAATGGTTAGTATTTGAATAAATAAAAGCACCATGATTTCTATCATCTCTCTTTAATGCTACCACCGTATACACTGGATAATCACACGGCCATTACGCCATACTACTACTACTACTACTGTTAAAACAAAAGAGGAAAGCCAGAACCAAAGATATAACACATAACCATGTAATAGCACTACGATTACAACTAGCAACTTTAACAAAATCAAAGAAAATAGTATATTAACGAATAAACTCACCATTTAAACTTTATTAAAGAAAGCAAAATTTCAACATATGAAAATGGGATTCGAACCCTGGATCTTCTAAATGACAGTCCAGTACTCTAAACACTGAGCTATCATTACACTGTGGCCTACAGTGTGACATTATAGAATTATCTATCATTAAGCATTTTGTAAACAACAGAAATTTACTGGAAAAATCTAAAAAGATAATATGTTGCTATATAAATGGATTTTAGGATTTAATTATAATAAGTACCTTATTAGAGATTAATGTAATTCATACTTATGGGATTTTCAATAGTGCTTTGATGTGTCATAAATACTAGCCCGTTTGCTACTTCAGAAAAATACAGTTTTCATGATATGTACTGGAAATTATGTGAAGCCCCACTAAAATATGTAGTAAGTATGATTAGTAATAACCATAACAACATTTGCAGGTATTATTTCCCCAAACTCACTGTTCTTTATAATTACCGTTTATATTGAATATAAGAGATAATGGTTAGATAAAATTTTTATAAAAGGTAATATAGAGAATTTTTGTTCTTGTGAAATAATTTGGTCTATTCAGCATCTTAAAGCACTACTTTTATATTAAATTGGGGATGTATGTAAATTTTTTCAGCTCCGGTGTACAGTTTGTTTTGCTGGGCAGGAGGGCAAAAATGTAAGGTTGTTGCTACAGAGGCAGCAGTCAATTAGCTCATCTGTGAGACGATACATCAGGCGAGCAGATTGGGTCAGTCGGAGTTAGCGTGGTCATCAATGTGGGTGCCCGGCACCATGTCATGAGCAATAGTTATCACCGGTAGGCCCTACATTTCCAAGGGAAGTTTGTTGTAGAGGTGGCCCAGTAATTTTTTTTAAAGTTATGTGAACACTGATGCCCTCGGGTGAGACATGGAGACGATTACAATACACCTTTTACCTGTGGTAGATGGGTGCCAGCGGTGGTTCCTACACACCGCACTTTGAGACTCAGGGATCTCAGTGATGCTGTGGGTTCTATGTGTTCGTCTCATCTGTGCATACCTACAAAACAACTTTATACCAAAAATACTGCAAACAAAACACTTGGTGGAGCTAGGTAACTGATGCTACAAAGACTTACACTTTTACACTGAGAGATAGGTTTATTAATTCAATTTACATCGTGCCAGAAAATGAATTAAATGGTTAACTGCTCGGACGTGACTAGCCAGTTCCGTTGGGTGATTCCCCCAGCACATTACTTGTGCACTCCTAGATTATGATTCTCCGCTGTGTCTGATAACACAGCCTCCACAAGGCAAGGGGCCTACAGCTGCTATGATGTACTGTAGGTTTTGCCCAGAGACAGGACACGGAGTATGAACATGAACACTAACACGTGCGCTTATTTTTGCCACTAACGCCTACTCGTCAGGACTCGTCCCCGAACCATGTGGTGTGTGGCAACTGTCAATACACACAGTGGGTTAGGACAGAAAATAATAACGACGTACAAAATTACACAAATAACACTTGATGAACATAGCACACGATTTGAACAGGCAAAATAAACACTTAGACATGTGGAAGTAGTCTTAGATGGTGCAGATGCCGCTGGATGAAGTTCTTAGCGGACCATGTGTGCTGGCATAAAACACATTATTTTACGTTAAATTTGGCTATTAATTACCGCCCAAAATGGTAACTGCATGAGGAAAAATTATCTCGATATACGAGCATAGAAAAGCTCGTTAGACGCCGAATGGTGGGAAAATACGCGTACATGAAATGACCACATGGTCATGAACAAAAAGCATCAAACATGAAAATACAAGAACTCTGATTGAAATTAATACATATAACCCTGAGATACATTAAGGCGCACAAGCTGGAACATGGATTGGCCCTCTTTAATGTGGCGATGGCGCAGATACTTACTTGGTGTTAACGAACCACATGGTCATGGGCGATGTGGTCGTAAAATAATTTCACATGACAAAACCCTCAAAATAATTATACACAAATGTTACCCTTAATATTGCTTGCCAAAATTAAGCATAAATTAAAATGAAAGCCCTAAACATGGGTGGATGGCACCTGATACACAAGTTGCGCGGCCTCTCCAACATCTTCTCCTCTCATCTCGTTTAAATTCAAAAAGCCACAAGGGCTGCAAATAATCAAGTTAAGCAGATAGCATTACACTGGAGATGTCTGGCAAAACGAACGCAAAGCAAAGGTTAACCAGTATACTAAATTAAACTATGGAAATCTACATCAAGGGAAAAGTATGAAGTGTGTGTGTGACGTCTTACCTCGCCAGCTCTCCTAGAACAACTGCTCAGAGTCAGGGGTCGCCTACGGGGTTCACACAAGCGGAAGTGTTATGCACGCTGAGTAAAATATTAATGTATTGAATTGAAATGGCACAAAAAGCCTCTTTAATACATTTTCACAAATAGACTTTAAATTCTGAATATTTGTTGTTATTTAAATGTCTTTGAAATGCTTCTTAGCCTGAATATTATTTTCTTTCTCTTCAGCGTCATGCGTGCTTTGAATTTGAAATAGTAAACATGACATGAGGTTCTGAAAATAAACATATTACACTTTAGAAACATTATTTTACCCTGAAAAAGAAATACATAGCACACTGAAATCAATCATCCTGTTTTGGGAAAGTCCGTGTTTGTAGCAGGCTGGACGCACATGATTACCCAAGATTTACTGTGAGCCGCGAGTGCCCTCATGTTCTTACAGCTGCTGGCTCTTAGCCTGCATCAACACGTGGAAAAAACTTACCTCATGCAGATCTTAGGCTGTGCTGAGAAAGTTTTTCTATTTAATCATTTAGACTAACCTGAAGCAAAATTAATTTCACGTAAATTATTATGATCTGCGTGTGAGGTGGCATCAAGGCATCAGCTACACACTCAGACTATGTAGCTCGTATGGCATGCATGTGCATGACCGGACGTAATTTTCATCAGCTCAGTTTAAAATAATGCAGTTAATTGGTAGTGCAATTTTTGCAACTTGGTAAACAATTAATGCATTCTTTATCTTACACATTTATGTTTGTAATTTTTTCGTCTCATATAGTAGTGAACTGTTGGTATGGGCTGGACGGATTCGTTTACTCTTATACTGGCGTATAAATGTAGCCTTATAATGGCTTATAAAGATTATGCTAAATACAAAATGAAAGTACATTATAAAATAATTAAACAATATCCACCCATGGCAGATTCGAACTGGGGATCTTCAACACTACAAACCAAAATATTACCATTGAGCTACCAACAATTACAATGAATTGGTGTAGTTTAATAAAACTTTTACTATATTCTGTTGTCTTATGTTTTAAAATGCTTTTTGAAATTTTTAATGTAATTTCTGATAAGACTTTGTTTTCTGACAGGGCATTTGATCGTCATAGCAATTCAAAGGGCGTTGAAAACTTTACTGCATCTTAGCACTTTTGTATAATGGTTATGCTTTACTCAAAATATTATGTGTGGAACATTTCATCAATTAAATTGGCATATTTTTGCTTCAACAAAGTGACCAAATCAGCCTTAAACATATTTTTAGTTTGTAGTAAACTTGACCAATCTTCAACACTTGCATTATTTAATATTAGCAAGTTTGTCTTATTTAAGTTCTCTATGTTTCTGACTGTAGTAAATCATTAGTCCTGCTGTTAGTCCAGACTGAAAGTTAGTCCATAATAAAGAAAAATGATTTGAACTAGTGTAATGATACGAGTCTCTGAATTAGAAAAAATTTGTTCGGAGGATGATCTTTCCTTAGTCCAGATTGTGGCCATGGTGGCTCAGTTCCCAGAGTGCTCATTTTCTACAAAGTGAACAGGGTTAGATTGTAGCGAGGTCACTCCTGGATTTTCGCATGTGGGAATCAATCATGCGGGATGATGCAGCTGGTCGGCTTATTTTCTCGGAGATCTCTCATTGCACCGCCTACGCAATCCGGTGCTGCTCAATACTCACTTAGCTTCATCCTCATCTGCTCTCAAGTCCTTGATGTTAAAGGCTATCCAAATCTCTCTACTTAGTCTGAATTAAAAACGAATGTGAATGAGACCCGTTGCCAGCACACATTTTCTCTTGTCTTTTTTCCGGCCTCGTGTAGTATTTAAAAACATCAGAAGGTTTAGTCGTCCTTTTTGAAATGTCAGCACTACACTTTATTTAGGAACAAATATGCATGTCTGTCGTATAGAAAGTATATATAAAGAACCCACAAGGCATCATCCTAAGAAAAGAATTGTTTCTAACTCGAAAATATTTATATGACACAAAAATTACATTGCACAGCAACATCATCATCATCATCATGTAAGTAGTCTCAGAAGTATAATTTTAATTGCTTTTGCTATTTCTCATGTAAGAAAAATGCCTGGCAACACCATAGTTATATTCTGTGTGCAGGACAGCTAATTATTTCCTAATATAATTTGCTTGAAATGCTTTGTAAACAGAACAAATAATTATTTTTACTCATTTTCTGTACTACATCAAAAGTCATGGAAAGTAGGCCTACAAAAGATGTTGCCACAGTAAAAATTATCCCAGAAGTGTAACATCAAGCTTGGTAGTTCTGATTGTATGTTGTGTTGAGGTAATGGAATACAATATTATGTACAAGTCAGTTTCATTACTATATATAATATATATATATATATATATATATATATATATATATAATATATATATATATATATATATATATATATATATATATATATATATATATATATATATATATATATATATATATATATATATATATAAAATATATATATAATATATATATATTATATATATATATATATATATATATATAAATCAGAACGATGGAACCTGGACTTGTTGCTAAACTAACTTCTATTAACTTGGAAAAATATTACAGTTATATATATATGTTTGTGAAATATATCCTACTAATAGAACATTTACTTATTAAATTTTCTATTTCATATTTATTTATTTTTTAAAGTTACTTCAAGTAGTGTTTACATGTCTGAATGTCAGCATTTTAGCACCACGATTTCTAGCCATCTTATCCCTCACTGTTTTTACATGAAGGACAGTTGTTTAGACTTTTTCTTCATTATGTTGTTTTTA